TTTGTTTTTTCTTTTCTTTTTTTCTTTTTCTTTTTTTGTCTTTTTGAGATAGGGTCTCCTTGTAGCCCCAGCTGCCCTGGAACTCACTATGTAGACCAGGCTGGCCTCGAACTCACAAAGATCCGCCTGCCTTTGCCTCCCAAGTGCTGGGATTAAAGGCATGCGCCACCATGCCCGCCCGTTTTTTTCTTTTTTTTTTTGTAATCTTTTTTTCTCTCTTCTTTTGTTGTTGTTGTTGTTGTTTGTTTGTTTTTTGTTATTGTTTTCTTTTGTTTTTTATTTTCTGTTTTGGGGTTTTGGGTAGATTTTTTTTTTTTTTCTTAAAGGGGTTGATGGTTGGCTGTTGATTATGGTATGAGTATGCTTGGGGACACAGTATAAAGATTTAGTTCTGTCTTTATGTCAGAAATGGAATTGGTTTGCACATTCTCATTTATTTTCATGGATTTTAGGTTGGCATTATGCAATGGTGTTCTTTCATATCTGTTGGCCACTTTATTTGCTTTTCTTCCTCATTATAGTAACATTTAGCTGAGTATAGTGGCACATGTCTCTGATTCCCAGCACTCACAAAACTGAGGCAGGAGGATCTAGAATTCAAGACTTGCCTGTGTTACATAGCAGGACCCTGGTTCAGAAAAACCCCAAAATTATGGGCTGGAGATGTAGCTCAGTATTTGCCTAATATGCATGAGGCCCTGAGTAAGAGCACCAGCAGTGTACCACACCCTTCCTCCAGAAAAAAAGGTTATTTGTGGGCTAGGGTTGTAGCTCAGTAAGGCTTGCCTAGCATGGACCTCTGTTCAGTCCCCAGCACCAAAATAAAATAGGGGGAGGAGAAGGGATTGGTTTCATTTCAGGAGATCAGTAAGTATGCTAGAGTTATGAAGTTACCTGTTTAATGACTCTTGAACCAGCATTCTAAGGAAAAGGGCTTTGTAGAACTGGACCTCGAAAAGGTCCAAGTGAGGCTGTGGGTATAGCATGGTTAACCCTTGCCTATAATGCACAAGGCCTTGGGTTCTATCCCCAGCACATGAGAATCACATGCTTGAGTCAGTGTGTTGGAAGCAGTGACATGGTAGGCCCCACAGAAGTGTGTGTTACCGTATGTAGCTAATATAGCTAGCCTTAGTGTTGTGACTGTAGGAACACAAAGTGGAAGTCATCTGGAAAGAATTTGAAAAAGATGAAGTCGATGATATCGAATAGTGTACAGGGAAGGGGTGTTTAAGTAGAATGGTACGTGTGAGGGCTAGGAGAACAGAGATGCATGACTTGAGTGGTGGTTCTAATTGTTGAAACCATTGGGCCTTTCTTTAAATTAAAAAGTTATGATGATTGTATGTAGGCGCGCATGCTATGGCACACCTGTGCAGATGGGAGGACAACTTTGTGGAGTTGGTTCTTTCCTCCCACCTTTCTGTGGGTTCTCTGCATGGAACGCAGGCCACCAGACTTATGGCAATGAGTTCATTTACCTGAGAACCCTGCTCGGTCTCTCTACAATAGAGGATGTTAATCAGAGGGAGGCAGCTTTGTGGGAAGAACACTGGACTGGGTTGACTTGGTTTTTTTATCTTGGCTCTGTCACTGATTTGCTGAGTGCCCATGGAGAAGTCAGGCTTTTATATAGTCTATAATTTACATTCTTGCTTCAGTATTCAGGAATTCTGACTTGCCTATCAAGAGAGAAGGTGGAGCCTTTTGCTTTCATGACTTAGCTACTTTAAGGATAGTTGGCCATTTACTTTCGAGCTTTGTTCAGTGGCCAAGCATAAACTGTGAGCCTTCAGTTGTTAGAGTAGTGGTTTGTTTTGTTTTGTTTTTACCTTTTAGGGCCTCGTGTAGCTCAGATTAACCTGGATGATCTTGAACTTCTGATCCTACTGCCTTCACTTCTCAGAGTGGTGGGATTAATGGTGTATACCACCACACCTAGTTTAAATAGGAGCTGTTTGAGTTTTTCTTGCCTGGGCTCTTTTGGGCACTTCATTCATTCTTGAATGCCATTCTCCTGCTTCACTCTTCATTTGGTGAGTTCTACAAAATCTCTCTTCCACATGCTATCTGTGCTCACATACCTTCCTTCTCCTCCATATGCAGCAGCTAGATTATTACCCATTGTCTTCCAAAGAAAAGGCAGGCTCATTAGCTGTGTGTTAGTATCCTCTGTCCATCTTAGCTCCAATTACTCCCCTTCACTTAACCTATGGGAGAGAGAGTGTAAGCGGATGTCCTTATGGTATCTTTGCTCCTATTGTTCTTTGTACCTGGTTCTGCCCTGCACCCCACTCCCCATGTCCAACCCCATCACACCCTCACAGTTCTCTTACCTCAAGTGCCTCTACCTTCATGAGACTGTCCAGGCTTCGCATAATCAGGGGCAGGTTTTGTTGTTTCTTTTTCACTTATCAAAGAGTACTGGCTAATAATGCTTTTATTTTTCAGGTCATGTTCTCTCTCCTAATTCTCTGGTATCTTACAGTGGGTAGGAACCCAGAAAATATTTGATTAATGAATTCTGATTAATTTCAGAATTTTTCTGGTTGGTAGAGTTGGTTTTACTGAATAACCATGATCTAGAATGTAGAAGATCACACTGCCAGCAGGAATTAATAACTTCATATACGCAAATTTATATTTGTAAGGCAATATCTATATATAAGGCAAGTAAAGCATTTTCAGCTTGAGCCTTGTCTGTAGGTCTTGATTGTCATCTATCTGGGCTTTCAAGACAATGCAGGGCATCTTTCCAATCACAGTATTTCATAGTACTTTACAGTTTGTATAAATTAGTACTCTTAATGTTTTGGTCCCATGAAATTTTTAGAATAAGGATTTCCAAACATTGGACTTTAAAATTTTTTTAAATATGCTAAAAGTTGAATTTACAGATCCACCATGAAAAAAAAGGGCAAAGATTATACTGCTGCCTTTCAAATTACTCTTGTTGAATTCAACTCTCTTGAGTATCGAAATGGCAGGAATCAATTTTGCATTCCATAAGAGTCCAATAAGTATGGTCCTTTTCAAGCAGTGATTGTGAGAGTTGGCTTCTTTTTTGATTCCATTGACCATTAGTGCAGTGGTAACTGGACATGAATGGACACTGATTTGTTGGATATGCTGAATGAGATAATACCATTATTATTCTTGATAACTACTTTTATTTTGCTATAAATTTTCAAATGAAGCTTCAAACCTTTAAAAATAAAATAATGAATGAATCAGGCCTGAAGAGATGGCACAGTGGCTAAGAACACTTGCTCTTCTTCCAGAGGACCTGGGTTCAATTCCCATTACCCGCATGGTAACTAACACCCAATATGTAAGATACTCCAGTTCCAAGGGACCCAACACCCCTTTTATCTCGCCTCTGTGGGGCATTGCATGCATGTGGTGCATTTACATATATATATGCGCAAAACATTCATATACATATAATAAATTTTTTTTTTTGGTCTTTTTTGAGACATGGTCTCCCTGCAGCCCCAGCTACAGGAACTCGCTATGTAGACCAGGCTGGCCTTGAAGAAAAATTTTTTTTTATTAAAAAAAAAATGACTAGAGCATTTCAGTAATTTCCATAAGAACTTTACCATGTCTATACACTAGAAATAGACTACCTACTCTATTTAGTATATGCCACCATATATTTTGTATTGAGATCAGTAGTAATTGTATGTCATGTTTTGAGGTAAGGTGCCCAAAAGTTGGATTTTTTTTCCCCCCTATGGGTCATGGATCTAGTTGTTAGCTAATCAGTTGTAAGCAGACTCTTGGGACTGGCTTGAATACAGGCAAATTTAACATTGTATAAAAAAGTTAATGACTCTGTGGGCGTGGTGGTGCACGCCTTTAATCCCAGCACTTGGGAGGCAGAGGCAGGCGGATCCCTGTGAGTTGAAGGCCACCCTGGTCTACATAGTGAGTTCCAGGACATCTGGGGCTACAGGGAGACCCTGTCTCAAAAAGACACCCCCCCCAAAAAAAAAGTTAATGACTTTGAGCATAGTCCATTACCTCAGAAAATATTCTAATTTTGGAAGGTTGAGAAGAACAGTAAGATCCACTGACGTTTCCCACTGCCACTGTTTGCCCATTAGCCCTTCTGTTAATCCTGTTTTAAGGTTTAATGCAGATAAGCTGTATCCTGCAGCTTCTACCTGAACTTCAGGGAAAACAAATGCATCTCATCTAAGATTAAACTATTAGCAGACATTACCTCATTTCTCTCCAGATGATGTAAGAAGAATCTCATTCTAGCAACATGGTTTCATCAGTCATGTAGGTGTAGCATTCTCAGAGATTGCCATATACAGTTGTGTGGTACGTCTATATTCTTTAATGCCATTAAAATAGAAATCAAAGAGCTGAGGACACAGCTTATTCTATGAAGTGCTTACTGTGTGAACACAAAATAACCAGATGTGGAGACATGGCCTGTACTGGGGAGGCAGGGATGGGCAGATCCCTGGGGTTCACTGGCCAGCTGGTCTAGCCTAATCCACTTTCAGTTTAGGAAGTTCCAGATTCAGTGAGAGACCCTGTCCCAGAAAATAAGGTAGAGAAGCAATTGAGGAAGATATCTTGACCTCTGGCCTCCACACAGGCTTTTGCAGGTGAACACACCTGTACACACATCTGCACACATGTATATACCACATACACACAAAAGAAAACAGTGTGGCATGTTTATTTGTCAGGTTTTTGATTGTGCAGTTAGCATCAGTTTATAAAAAGAAAGATGCTTGTATCTTTATTCCAGTGTGTGGAATGGGGGCTAATAAGCAGAGAGAGAATGAACCAAAGCACTGAACTCTCATTGCCCTTCTGTGTTAATGGGAAGAAGGGCAGCATTATTTGTGGCAAGTCCTTTATTTCCACTAACCATTCTGCTGCTTGCTGTTGTCTGATGGGGTAATAGGAGACACAAACAGATGCGTTTTAAGAAACCTCCATTTGATCGCTCCATTTCTCTCTCCTTCCTCTCTCAGGAGTTAGAGGCAGCCCTTCACAGAGATGATGTGGAGTTTATCAGTGACCTGATTGCCTGCCTACTTCAGGGTTGCTATCAGCGAAGGGATATCACGTGAGTAATCTTGGTCTTACTATTTCTTACATAGGAAGCACATTAACCAGCTGTTGTGGTGGTTCCTGTCTCCGTGACAAACAAGAACCCAGCATTGACCAGTTCATTACAGTGTAGACTCTGTGTACACAGATAGATTGCCAGCCTTATCTTTGCTCATTCTTTACTGTAATCCTTGAGTTTATGTTCGCAAAGTCATTCCATCATACCAGCTACCATATTTGAGTGTAGAATATCTTCTTTCCTTGTGCAACTTCTGATTTTGGCTTGTAATATGGGCAAAATATTGCCTAACAGCTTAAAATCAGGTTTCACTGCATTTCTGTGGCTTGTATGTCTTCTGTTGTTCATATAACTGGCATAATTAACTTGGAGCCTCTGGGCTCCCTTCTGCTGTAACTGCCAAGTAAATAGCTCTCCAGTGCCTTTGAGATGTGTAGAGACTGGGAGTAAATGTTACCTATGCATACAAATAAAGAGCTCCCTGACTAGATCAATTCTCTTGGTTTCGATTTTTAAGGCTCTGTGTTACCCAGGCTGGCTCAGAACTCGTGGGTTCATGAGTTCTTCCTGCCTGAGCCTCCAAGTAGCTGGACTATGGGTTATGTATGGCCACACCAAGCATTCTCTTGCTTTGATCTGAGCTGATAACAGTTGCTTTGCTACTTTCCTATACTGAAGAAAATAGGGCAAACTCACCAAAAGGCTTTCATAGTCACTTGGCCCTTTGAAGCAATGTAGATGTTTATATTTTTCAGACTGCACTTAGGAAGCAAAGGCAGGAGGTCTCGGAGACTAGCCTGGTCTACAAAGTGAATTCCAGGCCAGCAGGCTCTACATAGTGAGACTTTCTCAAAGGAAGAAAAAAAGGGAGTGGGGGCTTACTGGGTATGGAAGTACATGCCTGTAATCCCTTGGGAGACAAAGGCAGCAGGAGGGTTTGCAGCAAGTTCAAAGCCAGTGTGGTCTACATACCAAGACCCTGTCTCAAAATAAAAACACCTCCAAACAAATAAACCTCCAAGCCTAACATCTAAATAGAGAATGGAAGAAAATGTGATTTATTTTTATTAATACTTATAAATACCACTTGAGTCTTCTAGACAGAAAGCTGCTGAGTACAGACCAAGTAACTCTCAACTAGAGTGTAGACTTGCACCTTGCTGTCCATTTCAGTTTTCTTGGACATTAACATCAGGCCCAGTACTTCCCTAACAATGGTGTAAAAGAATTATGTGTGGGGCTGGGATAGCTCAGTGGTTAAGAGCATTAGCTGCTCTTGTAGAGGACCCAGGTTTGGCTCCCAACACCTACATAGTGGCTAACAACCATACTTAACTCTAGTTCCAGGGGATTTGGGCCCTCTTCTGACCTCTGTGGGCATTCCATTATGTGGATATGCTTACATAACATGCAAGCTATACATTCATATACATAAAATAATAAATAAAATATATAAAGGAAGAAGTATGTGTATGTGCAGGTGCCCACAGAGCCCAGAAGAGGGGGTCGAGGATGTCAGATCCCCTGGACCTGGAGTTACGGGAGATTGTGAGTGCTGGGAACCAAATTTGGGTTCTCTGCAAGCACAGTATGTGCTCTTAATCACTGAGCTATCTCTTTGTACCTTGATATATAGTCTTTGTTTTGTTTGGGGATTTTTTTTTTTTTTTAAGTCAGGGCCTTAATATGTATCCCCAGCTCTCTCAGAACTTACTATATAGACCAGGCTAGCCACAAACTCAAAAAGATCTGCCTACCTCTGCACCGCCCCCCCCCAATGTTGAGGTTAAAGGTGTGCACCACCACCCTTGGTGGATTTGTTTTGTTTTTTCTTTTTGAGACAGGGTCTCCCTGTAGCCCCAGCTGGCCTAGAACTCACTATGTAGACCAGGCTGGCCTTGAACTCAGAGGTCCATCTGCCTCTGCATCCTGAGTGCTGGGACTAAAGGTGTGTGCCACCATACCTGACTTTTTTTTTTCTTTCTTTATGAGTATGAGTGTGTTGTCTGCATGTAGGTAGGTGCACCCATGTCATGCAGTGCCCAAGGAGGTCAGAAGAGGGCATTGGATCCCTGGAACTGGAGTTAACAGACAGTTGTTAGCCTCCATGTGGGTTGTGGAATTGAACCTGGGTTTTCTACAACAGCAATCAGTGCTCTTAACCGCTGAGAACTCTCCCCAACCCCTTATGTCTAGTTTTCTTTTCTTTTCTTTTTTTTTTTTTTTTTTTTTTTTTTTTTTTTTTTTTTTTTTTTTTTTTTTGGAGGCAGGGTTTCCCTGTATCCCCAGCTGGTCTGGAACTCACCATGTGGACCAGGCCAGCCTTGAACTCAGAGATCTTCCTGCCTCTACCTCCCAGGTACTGGGATTAAAGGCATGGGCCACCACACCCGGCATCCTTTTGTCTAATTTGTAACTGTGGTAAACATGTTACATTGAGTATAGTTTTATACAAAACTCAACTAGGTTTATAAACTTTAAACTTCTTACTATATATAAGTTTATGGAAGTGTACAAGTTAAAAGAAATGTCCAGATATAATTTTGTTAACAACTCACCAGACTGCCCACCACGGAAGTGGTTTCATTTTATCCTTAATTATTAGTACACAGAGGTGTCTGCATAGTTCTCATTAGCTCTGAACGTGATGCCCTTTAGGTCTGCTAGTGGCACTCTCCTGCTGTCTCTTCTGGAGCTTATAGTTTTGTGCTGGGTGAGGACAGGGATGTCCACAGTAATCACAGTAATGATTATCTAATTGGAAGTACACAGTTTCTGCAATATATGCATAGAAGGAAAACGCTGGGCACAGTGGCTCACATCTGTTATCCTAGCACTGGGGAAGCTAAGGCAAGAGATTTGCTGAGAGCCTAAGGGCTAGCATGGACTACAGTGAGACCCTGTTTCAAAACACCTTCCTCCATCAAAGAAAGAAAAAGAAATAAAAAGTATGGAGTGTTAAGAAAACTTGGTACAAGAAATGATTTTTGGACTGAGCCTTTATATACCAGCTCTTCTGTCTTAATACAACAGTCTTTATGGTGGGATTAGTCACTCTAATTTGCCCTTCTCTTTAAAAATTGTCATACCCAGATGTTGTTTCCCATATCTGTTATCACAGCACTCATGAGGCTGACACAGGAGGATTACCCACAAGTTTGAGGCCAGCCTCAAACAGAGTGACACCCTGTTTCAAGAAGGGAGGGAGATTTCAGGAATTTGTTCATTTTGCTATCAATTAAAAGCTTCATTTTAGCTGAAAGTGGTGGTGCATGGCTAGTCTACATAGCAAGTTCCAGGCTAGCTGGGGCTACAAGGAGACCTGTCTCAAAGGATTTGGGGGACATATGGCTCAGTGGGTAGAGCACTTGCCTAATACACATAAGGCTATGGTTCTGATTCCCAATACCACATAAACAGGCCTTGTGATGCATACCTTAATCCTAGCATTTGAGAGGCAGAGGCAGAAGGTAGAAGTTCAAGGCCATCCTGGTCAGCATTAGACCCTGTCTCCCAAAAATAAGAAGAAAGGAAGGTGATTCATTCCTTTCAGATGCCAGAGGAATCGGGGCATGTCTATCTCAGAATCTCTTACAAGGCTATGATGAAAGTACCACCTTATGTCAGCAGTCATCTTAAAACATTTCAGTGAGCCTGGGGTGGTGGCACACATCTTTAATCCAAGCTCTCAGGAGGCAGAGGCAGGTGGATCTTTGTAAGTTCAAAGGCCAGCCTGGTCTACATAGTGAGTTCCATGCCAGCTGGGGCTACAGAGAGATCCTGTCTCAAAAAGAAAAAAAAAATTTTTTTTTTTTAAGTGAGGGTTGGAGAGCTGGCATTTCTTCCAGAATATCCAGGTTTGATTCCCAGCACCCACATGTTCCCAACACCCACGTGGCAGCTAACAACCTTTTATAACTCCAGCTCCAGAGCATCTAAAGCCCTCTGGCTTCTGTAGGCTTTTCACAACACAAATATGCAGACAAGACATTCATACATATATAATAAAAATAAATAGATCGAAGCCAACCTGGTCTACAATAATGAGTTCAAATAAATCTCAATGTATAGTATAGTTACAGAAAAAAAAAACCACAATTTTTTCAAATTTTCACAAACTGACTTCACCTGTTTATGGACTGGAGCCCAGACATAAGAGAAAATAGCTATGGATTTTACTTTCATTGAAGAAATTACTAAGGTGGTAATTATCTTTGTTCCAGGAGTGGTAATCCACATGCATTAACATGAAAACACCCATAAGTACTCCATTTACTTTCATTTCATCTTAAAGAAAAAGAAATCTGAAAGCAGATGTGGTGGCTCACTATAATCCCAGCATTTGGGAAGCTGAGGAAGGAGGACTGCAATGAAATTTAGGCCAGCCAAGGCTGTAGTGTGAGACCCTATCTTTCTTTTTTTAAAAAATATTTTATGGCCAGGCGTGGTGGCGCACGCCTTTAATCCCAGCACTTGGGAGGCAGAGGCAGGTGGATCTTTGTGAGTTCAAGGCCAGCCTGGTCTACATAGTGAGTTCCAGGACAGCTGGGGCTACAAGGAGACCCTGTCTCAAAAAAGACAAAAAAAAAAAATTACTGTTATTTTTATTTTATGTGTATGAGCATATTGCCTGCATGTATGTAAGTGTATCTGTGTCGTGCAATGCCTGAAAAGGTCAGAAAGAGGCATTGGATCCCCTCGAGCTGGAGTTACAGATGATTGTTAGCTACCATATGGGTGCTGGGATTTGAACCTGGGTCTTCTGCAAGAACAGTCAGTGCTCTTAACCACTGAGCCATCTCTCCAGCCCTGAGACCCTGTCTTAAAAACAAACAAACAAATTGCTGAGGGGCCTGTGAGTATGTGTGGCCAGCAGGGTGATGCATACTTGAATTTCTTAAGAGACTGAAGCAAGAGGATTTCAAAGTAGAGGTAATATGTGCTATATAGGTGAGACACTATCTCAAAAGAATTAGTTTAGGGGGCTGGAGAGATGG